GAGAGAGAGAGAGAGAGAGAGAGAGAGAGAGAGAGAGGAGTTTCTTTTCTTTAAGACGTCTCAAGTTCTTACTCCTCATTCATCAACCCGCAAACAATGTCTCCCCCCCCGGTGCTGCGTCTCTGTGAGTCGGTCGCCCTCTCTTCCCCTTTACGATTTCTGTTCCTCTCTTAATTTACCGTGAAGACTAATTCCATCTCCATTCACACTATGTCAACCATCTAATCCCCCCCTTTTGTAAGGGGAATTCCTCGGCCTCTTTTAAACAAGTCCCCTCCACACTGAGCGACAATTTAGTGCTACAGCATTCTTCCAGGGCTAATGAATTTAGAATTAGCAATTTCTTTCGAATGGAGCCCAGTGAATGCGATCGCTTTAACAGCGTGACAAATCGCCGGCCGCGCTGCAATGGACACCGTTTAACCCCCCCTTTCAGCCGGCCCGCTTGCCGGGTATTTTCCCAGGTAGCTTAGAGGGGAACCTTGTAAGACAAGGAGGCCGCCCCCGTGGGCCTGGCTGCTCCCACCCTGGCTGCGGAGGCCTGACAAGGGGACTTCCAGGGGGCTGGGGCCGGTGCATCCCAGCCTGGAGAGGCGACTGCGGAGCTTGCCTGACGGGGTTCCTGGGGTCCTGCAGTCCAGCCTTTGGTGCCTCTGCCCAGATCGGTCCCCGGTGCTGACTGGCCAGGCTCCTCCGAAAGTGACCGTGCCTGTGCCTGCCAGGGTGCACAGGGGCCACCGAGTGACCCGCTGGCCAGAGCACCCTGAACAGGACTGGGCCAGAGTCCCGGGTCAGCGTTACATCGGGACGGACCTGGCCTGGGTCTCTCCACCTGTAACCTACGCACCGCAGTGGGCTCACTGGTTCTCACGCTTTTCCCCCGATGGAAGGCAGGGTAGGGGTGCAAGCTTTGAGGGTGTGGAGGAGCTGCGAACCTGCTCTTAGAAATGAGCCCCAGCGCGCTGCTCGCTTTGGGGGCTCGGAGGGTCCTGGGCTGTGACAGAGGGGACCCCCGTCACCAAACCTCTGCATGCGACCGCTTTCGGGTCACCGGAGAGACTTCTCCGTGTCGGTCGGAGGGCTTGGGCTGGCCAGGCTGGGGCGGTGTAACCGGCCTGGGCGGGACTGGCATTGACTGGCTCCCGTGGCTGCTGCAGAGGTGCAGAAACTGTCCAGCCTGGTGCTGCCAGTGGAGGTGATCATCGCTCAGAGCTCCATCCCTGGCGAGGGCCTCGGCATCTTCTCCAAAACGTGGATCAAGGCGGGCACGGAGATGGGCCCCTTCACCGGCCGTGTCATCGCCCCCGAGCATGTGGACATCTGCAAGAACAACAACTTGATGTGGGAGGTAGGCGAGGGGCGAGGGCTGCTGGGGCAGCTCTGGTTCTTCCCAGGAGCTGCGGGTGCTCCGGGCCTGAATGCCCCTGGGGTGGGACCTTCAGACAACCAGGGCCAGCCATGTGTGGAGCTTTCTTTCCTGGAGATTCCTCTGCAAATGGCCAGCCCAGGTCATCAGAGGGAAACACCTGCCTCTCCCTGCCGCTTAGGCTGACCCTGCAGCTGCCTGCACTTCACAGGTGGGGCGCAGGGATCCAGCAGGGCCCCACTGCTCGCCTGGGTCCTCAGGAGCTGCTGGGAAAGCCTACCTGGAGCGGCCTCCCAAACCCCATGTTTCTTGGGACTCGGTATCCCCACCCCAGGAGATGACAGGATCCGGTGGTCACTGCCATTCTGGCGTTGAGTCAGCCGAGCCCCCAGCCTACAGTCCACAGGGTTATCTAGCAGCCCTGTGAGTCACCGTCCCCATTTCACAGAAGGAAGCTGAGGCTTCGGTCCGGGCCTTCTGACCCCTACCTGCACAGTGCCAGATGCCGGCCAGGGCCACCCTGAGGACAAAGCCGCCCCAGCTGCTGTTCGTCCTCCTAACCTCATTCCTCCTGTACTGCTCCCCCAACCTGGCCGACACTGGGGAGCCCAGGGGGACAGTCCTGCAGCTGGCCACAGGGGCAGGAGGCAGGGCACAGGGGGCGACCCGCCCGAGGTCTCACCTGACCTCACCGTCCTCCTCTGGAGGCCTGAGCTGGTGATTGTCTTTTCCAGTCGTCTCTAGGTTATAAGTTAGGGTGTAGTTTGACCTCCAAGTGCCCTAGGCAGCTCCCACAAAGCAGCTCAGGCCAGGCCACTGAACAGCTTTCCTTCTCCGGGCTCCTGTGTTTTCTCTGAGGTCTTGGCCAGTGTTCCGGGTACCTCTGCAGCCCCAGGGGAGCCAGCTGGGGGCCGCTCTGTCTGGGCAGGGATCCCTCAAAGCCCCTCTTCTTCTGGGAGTCAGGAGCAGGGGCACATCATGGTCAGCCCCGGGGCGCTGGACACTGATGTCCCTTTGGCCCCTTCTAGCCTTCCAGCGAGAAACCGTTCCCCTAGCCTCCCTTTCCTCGGTGGGCGAACGGAGCTGATGGTAGCTTCGTCCACTTCCTGGGGTGCTTGGGAGTGGGACGTGTGTGAGGAGGAGCCCGGCCACAAACCATGCAGACGGCACAGCCCCGGCTCACCCGGGCTCCTCTCTACCTGCGCCCAGGTGTTCAATGAGGACGGGACGGTGCGGTACTTCATCGATGCCAGCCAGGAGGACCACCGCAGCTGGATGACCTACATCAAGTGTGCCCGGAATGAGCAGGAGCAAAACCTGGAGGTGGTCCAGATCGGCACGAGCATCTTCTACAAGGCCATCGAGGTCCGTGCGTGTGTGTGCACGTGTGTGTGTGTGTGGGGGCCATGGGGGTCCCTGCAGGAGGGGCACCACCGAGAACGGAGGGGCATCGATGCCGGCTCAGCTGGGGCTGCGGGGCTGGGGCTCCCGCCTCACGCTGCCTGTGGCACATTGGAAGGGTCCACGCATTCAACTTTACACTATGTGGTGTTGTGAATGTCTCCCAGGGACGTCCAGGTGACTGGCCGTGGGCGTGCTGTGCTCAGGGCTCAGGGACATTGGGGAGAGCGAGATGCACAGTGGGAAGCAGTCCAGGGATGCGGCTGTGGGGGAGAGGGAGGGCACACTGTGTGCCAGGCTGCCCGTGGACATGGGGCAGCACTATCGTGTCTGATGCCCAAGTGCCCCGTGAGGAGGTCCCGGTGTGACCTGCAGCCCACAGCCCTGGAAACAGCCTCCCTGCCGGGCCTCTGGGGGTCAGCACGGGTTGCTGCGCCGTGACGTGAGCCTTCTCAGAGCGGTGGGGCAGAGTGGGGTGGCGGAAAGGCTGGGCCACTCCGCACCTGTCCGAGGACTCGAGGTGAGGGCTGAGCCAGGCCTGGGAAGGGCAGTGCTCCTGGTAGGGAGCCCTTGGCAGAGGTGGAGAAGCTGAGTGCAGCGGGCAGGTGGCTGGCACTGCAGCCCCGTGGCCACGCCACAGGGATTCTCCCGGACGGACAGTGCCCCCGGGCAGGAGTTTGGTTAGCACTGACCTGTGTGTGAGCACCATGCGGGGTGACAGCTGTCCCACTGCACTGGCCTGGCCCCCGGCGTCTGGGCACCTGCTCCCACGTGGGGAGAAGCAAGACTGGCGGGGTTGGGGGGCTGAGGCTCGGGTGTGCTTTCCAGTGGCCTGGAGGAGCCCCTGGGGGACCACGGAAGGCTTCCTTTTAGTCCCCACTCCATTTGCTCCCTGGGGCTCAGAGCCTTGAGCTCTTTCAAAGAGTCTCTGGGATGCCCAGGTCTCCCAGCTTCGGGGACTGGGGTCCTATTGTCGCCGATTAGCCAGGCCCCAGGGATCCTCCCGGGGATGAGGGCCTTGGCCTGACCTGGAGCAGCATGGGGCTGAGTCCCAGCTGAGGGGCGGCCCTGGAGGCCCAGGAGGAGGGGAGGAGGCAGGGCAAGCAGGGCCTTGTTGGAGCCCAAGTGCCATGGCCAGGGTGGGTCAGGAGGGTGGCCCCTGTGACCCTCTGGCTGAGGTACCACCTCCTAGAATTGGCTTCCAGGGCAGCTGAAAACCACTTTTAGCAGAGTGCATCCTCCAGGGTCCTCACCCGGCCTTCAGGCACTCTCTCTCTCTCTCTCTCTCTCTCTCTCTCTCTCTCTCTCTCTCTCACACACACACACACACACACACACACACACACACACACACACACACAATTACAGTCATGCACTCCTTCCAGCCACAGGAGGCACACATATGTCCCCAGCCAGGAACTCCTGTGTATGTTCTTTTGGCAACAGGGCTCCCGGCTGGGGCAGGCACGGGGCCCTGTGCCTCAGCACCCTGCACACGTCACAGCTGCAGAAAGCCAAACAGGGTCAGGGTGCATGAGCAGACACTGATGCAGAAATGCAGAGTCAACCAGGAGTGGGGCACACGCCCGTCATCCCAGCACTCAGGAGGCTGAGGCAGGAGGATCGCCCGGAGTTTGAGGCCAGCCTGGGCTGCAAAGCAAGATCCAGTTTCAAAAAACAAAACAAAATAAAACAACCAAACCAAACCAAAACAAAACAAAAAACAGAAAGAAAAGAAAAAATGCAGAATGAGAGGCCAAGGTGGCTCCAGGGAGGGATTTGAATTTCTAGGGTTAGGGGGAAAAGTTCATGTATATTTGATCAGGAATTGAGTTTGTAAACCATACTGTTGTGAATATGGTGCAATGACTCAGACTAACGGAGGCACCAACATGTCATGCCCGTCATTGCTTTAAGGGTCAGGAGTTCCCTACGATGGGACTGTGAACCAGGGGCGGGACATAAAACACCCCCAAGTCCTGCCCGTACGTGAAGCTGGGCACAGTTTTCTCCGCAGCAGATCCACTCGTGCTGGGTGGGTCGCGGGTCCAGGTGTCCACGAATGCTGTCAGGGTTACTCCGCTTGTGCGGGCTGGATCGGGGCCCCTGGGGTCACCCCGGCCATCGCATTTTATGACAGTAACCTGTTGTTTGCCGGAAGGTGGGCTGCATGTTCGTGGTGAGAGCGTGGCACCTGGCTGGGTCTGTCCCGAGCCGGCCACGGCTGCCTGCCTTCCAGGTGGGGGGCGGGGGGCATTCGGTAGCTCGGGGACCCAGGTGTCCCAGCAACACACGGCTGTCCCAAGACTTTTGCCTGATTTTAAAGCTGGTACAAGGAGAGGGTTTAGGGTTAGATTATTACCATTTTGGATTTTGGTCCTCGGATGAAAATTCTCAGCCTTTCCCTTCCCTGTTTTTCGCCAATGATTGGACCCTGAAACGCAGGCTTTTCTTGCCACATTTTCTGCTCATTTCAGGTAATTAAGCCTTTTCTTTTTTCTCTTACTTATTTTTAAAATTTATTTTCAGTACCAGAGATTGAACCTAGACCTTGTTACTTGCTATGCAAACTCTACCCCTGAGCTACAGTAAGCACTTTAAAAAATTTGTATTCTGACTCAGGGTCTTGCTAAGTTTCCCAGACTGGTTGAAAACGTGAGCTCCTCCTGCCTCAGCCTCCTGAATAGCTGGGTTTCCAAGCCTGCACCACAGTACCCGACTCTTCTCTTAACTATAAGGACAAATATGACTGCTCTTTTGACCTTGCTCATTTCGGACACACTTAAAGCGTCAGTGTTACCGTTACCAGATGACTCTGCACTGACCCCCTTTGCAAAATGTCTCAGAAACATTTTTTTTTTTTTTGTACTGGAGAGTGCATCTGCCAGGACCATGCTCCTGTTATTTAAGCAAGTGCTCTATCACCAAGCTATGCTCCCATCCATGCAGATTTTTTTTTTCTTTTTTAGACAAGGTCTCGCTCTGTAGTTCAGGTTGGCTCCGAATTCACTGTGCAGCCCAGGCTGGCCTTGAACTCCTGGTGTTCCCCCTGCTTTGATCTCTGAGTGTGCACCACACCTGGCTCCAGCCAGAACTGTTTAAAAATAGAATTCTTTTTAAAAATAGAATTTGGCCAGGTGTGGTGGTGCACATCTGTCATCCCAGCACTTGGGAGGCTGAGGCAGGAGGATTGCCACCACCAGTCTGAGGCCAGCCCGGGCTCCAAATCGAGTTCAAATCCCACCTGAACTATAGAGCAAGAACCTGTCTCAAAACACCAAAAACCAAAACCCCACAATAGAATTTGTTCTGCCCTGTGAGGTGCTCTCTATTTCTATTCCTGTCCTGTTTATTATTTATTTATGTAGCTAGCTGAGGTGTTGGGGATGGAACCCAGGGCCCGGCATGCCTCACCCTGCTCTCCCCACTTTAATGATGATAAAACCGAGGTTCAGGGGACCCTGGGAGTCTGCTGAGCAGGGCGGTGATCCCAGGCCTGTCTGGCTGCGGAGCTCAGTGCCCGACAGCCCTGGGCGGTCTCCCTGGCCGGTGTCTGTTTGCCGGGACTCTATTAATTGACGTGTCAGGACATCTGTGTACGATGGAAATTGATGTTCAGCCAGATGACACCGCCGTCTCCTGCTCGGGGACAGCCGGAGCAGTCTCCAGGGAGCATGCTCAATGGTGCGGCATGAATTTGTATTAGGAAAACAAACCCCACCACTCATCATGTCCAAATGAGGATAAAAATTCAGAAAGCGGAGCAGGACAGAACTCAGGGCTGCCGAGGACGTTAAGATGAACAAGCCGAGAGGCCTACAACTTGTTGAGTGAAGACCTGGGCCTTGGGGGTGGGTTTTATGGGGCGGGAATTGGTCCCTTTGGGAGATGCTTTCATCGGTGGCGCGTCCTGAGCCCATGTCAGCACCGGAACCGGGAGTGAGCAGCTGACTCAGGCCATTGCAGCCCCGGGCCTGCGCAGGGCTGGCCTAGGCCGGCTGAGGAACAGTGGTGACTGTGCTCTCGCGGGCCTGCTGGGGCTGTGTGCTGTGCCCTGGAAGCCGTGAGAGGCCTGGGGAGAATCTCCGGGAGCAGCCGCAGCTCCAGGGTCTCCTGGGCTGGACCACAGGGCTCGGGGGATGCAGCGTGTCTGGAAGCGGGTAGGGAGCAGGACCAGGGTCCCAGTCCCCTCCTGAGTCCATGCGGCTGATATCATCTAGCTGCCTGGGGACCTGTGTCCTTCTCAATTCCACTCAGTTCTTCTAATGGACTTTTCAATAGTTTTTTGATAAAGGGTCTCGCTGTGTAGTCTAGGCTGGCCTTGAACTCATTGTGTAGCCCAGGTTGTCCTCAAACTCATGGTGATCCTCCTGCCTCAGCCTCCTGAGTGTTGGGATTGCAGTGTGTGCCACCAGAGCTGGCTTTAGACTTTTCTTTCTTCTTTTTAAAAATGTTTTTTTCAGGCCAGGGATTTAGCTCAGTGGCATTGTGCCTGCCTCACAATTGCAAGGTCCTGAGTTCGATCCCCCGTACCAAAAAAAAAAAAAAAAAAAATCTTTTTTTTT